GATCATTAAGAAACTAAGTAATCATTAAAAATTATATATACTGATATGTTCATTTTTGAAAAAGTTACGGCAGTTTTTAGTAAAAAAAATTGAAAAAATTTTGAAAATAAGCGATTTTTAAATTTTTAATTTTTTTGGAGATTTCCCCCATTTACGGGGAACGAGGGATTTTTTTTTCAATTTTTGAGGGTAATGTCTTCGATCAAATACGATTTATGATTTTTTGACGTATCATTGAAAGAAATCGGTTCGGTGATAGCTGAAAAAAGTGGTAACAGACACACAAAAAAAAAAACACATCATAGTAAAATTAATACCTTTTTAGCTTCGCATCGAAGCTAAAATTATATTGATCCATACATTTTTTAAAAAGTTATAGTAATTAAAAAATGAAAATATAAAATTTTAACACAAAAAAACAGGGTTTTAACTACGGTAACTATACATGCGTACATCAGTATTTTAATAAATACACTTTTTAAGCTAGAATTCTGTATCATTCAGGTGCAACTCATCATTATTTATTCTTTGTTCGTGGTTTGAGCGACAAAGAAACAGACACGCGCCCATTTCTGAGGATATTTTGAAAGCGGACGACGATTCGTTTATTGGTGTCACAAGAGATGACTGATAAACGTATTATTGCGGCGGGTATTCGATCGCTAGGCATTTGTTGGCCTTTATACCACGACGATAACGAGTGTGTGTAACGGTCCAGTTTCAGTGAGGCGGTGCAGTGAAAGAGCAGACACGGTCGCGGGGTGACAACATCATGGCCGTGTCAAAGTATAATTAAAATAGAATTATCACAGATTTGAATTTCTTTGGTTATATTATTATAGATCATGTTTTATTCGTTTTTGTTTTGATATATTATTTTAATTAATAATTATTAAATAATTTATTTCATATTTTTCTGTACTTTTTCAGAAACTATTTATTCATTAACTAATTCAATTTTTTTTATTTGTGAAATAATTAAACTACTAGTCTTCTGTAAAGTATATGGTCTAAAATATTNTTTGATTTTATAAATATGTTAAAATTTATTATTACTTCAATGAATTTACAGTTCTTTCATAATATAAAAACCCACGTACGTCAAAAAGTATATTCAATAACTATTTTTCTTCGACACATCTATAACAGATTTCCATTCATATTTTTTTGTAATTTTTTTCGATATGGTTTCAATTAGTTATGCATTGTTGTTAATTTGTTTAGCTAAAATCTGTACGTGTGAACAAATTGATTTGGACCATCTTACACTTGATATCGCAAAAAAACATTTACAAAAACACGATGAAATGTTATCTTTTGTAATACTAAATCGTCCTAATTATACTGGTACTAAACTATGTGAACAATTGAAAGAACTCTGCCTAAATGATAATATCGATATTCCCGTGTCTTTGGATGAATCTAATAAAGCTACATCTCAAACAGACAGTACGCCTTTTGTTTTAAGAACCTTACAAGAAATTACAGATGATGCTCTAAATGAAAACAATCCACTCGAAGCTATAGTTTGGCTTATAAATGTTATTGAAAGCATGGGACTTACACTGTTAGCTAATTATAATCTAGTCACAGCAAAAGCAATACCAACTATACTAGAAGAAAAGGAGAAGTTTAGTAATCATTTTAATAAGGCCAAAACTTTTTTTAATTTTCTATTAGAAAAATTTAAATATTATCGTATAGATACAGAACCGGTTGATAAGGTAATTTCCATTTACGATGAATATAACCGGTCTTTGAAACTGGAAGAAAATAAACAAGAATTTAATAAAAAAAGCAAGAATAATTTCGATCGTTTTGTAAACCGTACATGTTTGGTAAAAATGCCAAATCGTGAAAAACATGTAAGAGTTGTAGATTATTTAAAAAAATTACAAAAACAAGAATTTGAAGCTAATAAAGAAAAATACGAAATTTCAGTTCAAAATCTGTTTAATACATTCTATACTTACATAGACCATAATGTAAAAATCTTAAAAGGTAAAGATTTAAATACATTATAGTATTTTAATGTTATATAGTGTGTTATTTTTTGTGGAAAAATACTTCCAATATGACTCAAAATTAATTTTTTTTTCATAAATAGATTCAGAAAATACTGGAGGATTAAATTAAAAAATAATCTTAAGTGATTGATTTATTATATATTTTTGATGATGAAATTTTAAAAAATAATAAAATATAATTACAAGACTTTTTAATATCTAAAATTGTGTTTTTTTTGTTATTTAATAATTCCAAATAATTATATCTTTTCATATAAAATTTTTTTCCATTATTGTAGATATATAATGTGTAACAAAATAAAATTATGTCTAGGTTAACTTTACAATATTGCTCAAGTTGAGCAGCTCAACTGTATGTTACAAAACTATAATTTTTATATAGTCACTGAAGAATAATTTATTGTTGTCAAATAAAATTTTTAAAGTTAAGTTATTAATTATAAATACCATAGAGTTTATAATAAATATTTGGAAATAATTTTTACAAATATGTTAAAAAACTGAAAAAATTATGTATTTATTAATTTGATACAAAGGTGTTCAGTAAGGACACGGGGCTCTATTGTTCTCATTGTTTGTAACAATTTACCTATTATCTTACTAACTGAACACTCTGTATAATTTTTAACTTACGGGTGTTGAAATAAATATGTTTTAAAATAATAATTATAATTTTTAAATACAGAGTGATTGGTTAACTATGTCTCGCGTAATATCTTTAAAAATACAAGTGTTGAAAACAATTTTTTTTTTAATCATTATGGATCTTTGATGAAGTGTTTTACAAGAAAATTTAAATTCCTACCACCATCCCTTAGGCTTAAAACTTGTATCGATATTTTCAAATAGCAACCCTATTTTTTTCACACCTTTAAATTTAGTTTAATAAAAAAAAAATTTTGTAAAAAAAATATTTTATTTAATTTAACGGCTCTCTTATGATTGGAGTTTATTAAGGAAAAATTATAACAGACTCGTACGTTATAGGTCATAAATCGTTAAGCGCAACCAGTTTTAAGTAATAAACTACCTGCGTTGTCAAAGAAAATCAGTAGCTCTTTTCGCTACATAAAATAATAATGTGTCCGTATTGGAAAAACAACTGTATTTTTTCTTTTGCTAAACATTTTTTAGCTTCGATGCGAAACTGAGAAGGTATTAATTTTACCATGATGTGTTATTTTTTTTGTGTGTGTGTCTGTTGCCACTTTTTCTCAGCTCTCACAGCACCGATTTCTTTCAACAATATGTCAAAAGATCACAAATCGTATCTAGTTGAAAACATTATCCTTAAAAATTGAAAAAATTTCCCTCGTTCCCCGTAAATGGAGGGAATCTCGTAAAAAATTATAATCTTCAAAATCAGTAATTTTTTACTTTTTTTTTTCTTAATACTACTATAAATTTTGCAAAAATTAACAAATCAAAATCACTATTTTTTTTGAAATTGAAACCATAGATTTTCCCCATTCATTTGATATCATTTTTTTGATGATCTAACACTTAACATGCTCACGGGAGGGGAAATTCAAAATAACAACATTTTTACAAAAACTAACTTTTTCAACTTAACTTTTGAAAATGATCCGTCGAATGCGACGAATTACTTATCAACTCAGAAAAGATCGGTAATACACTTATATGTTCACAGATACAAATGTAATAACTACTTAAATGAATTAAACTACTTAATTTACCAGTAAAAAAACCCAGCACGGAGGTCGCAGCACAGTGGTGACGTGGCATAGTTGGATAAAGTATAATGATATCTGACAGTGATTAAAATAACTATAAAAAAAAACGCTTCAATGCAAATCTTTAGATAGTGTTTAACTTTAAAAAATTGGTGTATTATTCCAAAAGATCTGCTAGTTCCTTATTAATAAAATTGATTAAGATAAAGTATGTCGAATGAAAAAGGGATTATTAAAAAATATTATTTCTAATAAAAAATTGTGTTGATCCATACACTTTTCAATAAGTTATAGCATTATAAAGTTAAAAATGTAAAAAATAAAATCGAGAATTTTCACACAAAAATAGCATTTGGTAGCCATTTTCACCGTGAAGATAAAATAAAGTCCGAAATTTTTTTTTTCCATAATAAAGTATATTACATTAGATTTAATTTAAGATATTAAGTGTCAGTATTTCCGGAACACTTTCAAAAGTTAATTTTTTATGAATAATTTGTCATTTTGAATCCCCCACTGTGATTTTAAAATTTGTAATTTTTTAAGAGGTTTCTCCTATTTACGCGGAACAAAGGAAATTTTTTCAATTTTTGAGGGTAATGTCTTCGACTAGATACGATTTGTGATCTTTTGGCGTATCATTGAAAGAAATCGGTTCGGTGAGAGCTGAGAAAAAGTGGTAACAGACACAAGAAAAAAAAACATTATACTAAAATTAATTCCTTCTCAGATCCTTCGCATCAAAGCTAAAAAAAATTATTTATATAGCAACTAAATATTTTATAACAATTTCTTAACAACTCATCAAACTGAATTTCCTTCTTTATTTTCCTCTGACGAATATTCATTGAATAAAATTGTTTATTTAATGCAAAACTTTGACTGTTTATAAATTAGTTGTTTAACTTGACTGTGAATAATTGTTTTTGTCGAGAAACATAATTGCGGTACCCTTAACAATTTTGACTATAAAATCGTATACAACACAACCGTAATGTGTAACAGTCCAATTCAGCTGTTCTAATATTAATAGCTGTAAGTGTTATATGCACATAGTCGACATTAAAATGTGCTAAAAGAGACCGTAACTTATTCAACACTTGAAATCGACAACAAATTATTTCTATGTGCCAATTAATTGAAATAATATATGCGGCTTTATGTAGTATTTATTTTTAAATAAAAAAATTTGTAACAGTAGTTATTAAAATAATAAATGTAGATACTAATAGAGTTCAAATATCATATAGTTTTGCAGTGGCGTATCTAATTTTAGGGTTTAGGTGGCAGTTCGGCCTCTGACACTAACCATAGTAGTTTTAATACTCACGATCGGAAATCATATAATAATGTTGTAGATACAAATTATTTGCAATTGGTCATTTATGTGATTGATAAAAAAATCATTACAAATGATTATTTATATTCATCTAATGTAATGAAAAATACCCTTAAAAAAAATATTGCATTATTAGGCAGTAGAAAATTCCCCTACTTGCCCCTCCATAAATACGCCACTGCAGTTAGTACATAAAGGAAAAAATGGAAGCAGTAAGAATAGTTTTTAACAGAAATGGACTATTAATCCAACGTTAAATGAGCAGCGTTATTAAAATTAATATTTCATTCTTCAGTATATTAATTCTATGAGATATAATTTAAATAGATAAATTGTAGAAAGAATATTTGTACATCATGAAGTTTTAGAAAGATTTGAAAAGCTATTTTATTTAATGTTTTACAACAAGTTCCTGGGAGAGTGACTAATTACTTAAAATTCTCATATAATATATCAAAAAACGTAAAGATTTCAAAGTAAATAACAAGTAGTTTGTCGTACCAAATGTATCTTTTACATTAATCAAACGCACAAAATTACACTGAATACCTATGATTTATAATTCATTAATTACATTAAATACACATATTTTACCTGAAGTAGCATTTCATTAATTTAATATGTTCAGATATATGTGATTAATTTTATCTTGTTAATCATGTTTAACATACTCTCTAAAAGCTATTGCTTGTACCAGAGAATACGAGTAAAACTACATAGCTTAACGCAACGGATTAAAAAACCCAGTACCTACGCACTGAAGTTTCACGCGTTACCGAATGACCTAGGTAGACTGCCTATAATTATAATTTGAAATTTATTTTCTATAATTTTTCATTAAAAACTCTTTTTAACGAGGCTGTATTATTCAAACCTCAACTAACACGGTACAATTACTAAGCCATTAAATTTACCATAAATACATTTTTATTTATGGTATAGAAACGTAGAAAAAATCAAGTTTTTCTAACTTGGTCAAAAAAAGGTTTCACGTGAAAAATATAATATGTTTCTCATAATATTTTTTCCTTATCTTTTTCTAATTATTATTTTTCCAAATTTTTCTAACTAAAATTTATAATTTCATCTTAATCGATTTTATATTTCATATTAATAATTTTAACGCACGTGATAAAGAATATTTTATTATTTTCTTCGTGTATTTTATTAATAAATTACTATAGTAAGAAATATATACAGATGTATACTTAAACATAAATAGCTTAAACTACTTAAACTTAAATATATATATATACATACATTTGTGTAAATGAAAATATTTTTGAAGTATTATAAATCATACAGGGGCGTGAGTGTTAATAGAAATAATGAATTCTATTTTCTTAAATATAGAATATTATATTCAAAAATATTGTGTCAATGATCGCTCTATTTTTATTTAGTCAAATTTTCTGTTAATCATACATTTAAAATGACAGTTATTTATGTTAACATTGTACAATTTTTCTTTCGTAATTAAAAATACATTTTGTTGGATAGTTTTTCAAATAAATTTAAAATAGCTAGGGAGCCCATCTACTTTTTTATAATTTTAAATATATTTTCTAAAATTTATCACCAAAAACCACTTTTAATGAGGTAACTATCACTCAAACTTCAATTAATCCACAAAACATCACCATTTAAGTACTCGACTTTTAGCAGACTTTTAGCTGATTTAAAAAAAAAAAACATATTAAAATAACACTAGTCCTAAAAATGTACATTATACTTTTATTCTAGTTACTAAGTAATAAGAAACTTCTTCGTTAAAACATCTCGTTAGTTACAAAAATTGAAATGCAACCATTTATAGCTAATTTATTAGGAATATTAAAATTTTTTATGTAGTTTTACATAGACATAAATAATCTTAAAATTACCCTTTGAAAACCCCAATATAGGGGAGTAAGGCAAGTTGACACTTGGGGCGAAATGATCCTATTGGATTTCAAAAAATTTAATAATATTAGCATATTTTTTTGGAAGTACTAAAAAATATATTAACCAAACAATGACAAATTTCC